TTCAAGGATTTTTAATAAATTTAGAGTTGTGCAACCATCACCATAATCCCATTTCAGATCATTTCCGTTAGCCCAAAAAGTTCCCTCTCAGCTTGCAGTCCAAACCTAGGGAACCATTGATCGCTTTCTGTCTCTCCAGATTCGCTTTTTCTGGAAGTCCCATATAAATGGAATCATACACTCCTACTCTGTCTAAAGTTTTCTCTTGAACATATGCAGATTGTACAACCCAGTAGTTCCACTTCAAGAATGACTTTTAGCACGTGTTCATTGGGAGGCCTATGCAAAATTGGTTTCAGCGGTCATGTTTTATAATATCTACAGTGAGATATATAAAACAAGGGTCTCTGAAGTAAGTTTAACTAAAAAAATAATGAACAGGGCAGTGAAAACGAAAAATAGATGCTACCTGCAACCAACATGGCTTAATTGCTTTCTCTGAAAGACATGAGAAACAAAAGACATATTCAGTATGATACCATCATATGTAGTATAAAAATTACCAAAACTAGAAAATAAGATATTTGAGGATTTAGGCATAGGTGTAAACATAAAGATGAACAAGAGAATGGACAGCAAAAATGTACCATAGTGGTTTCCTCTTCCGGGCGATGCCACCTATAAGGTACAAACAGACATGAATTGCCTGGCATTTAATGATGAGGTGTATGGGCCTAGGTAGCAGGTATGTAGGTGATCACTTTATTAACTTTGAACTATATGTGTACCTTTTCATACAATTTTGAGTAGCCATGTTTCCCAATGTTTAAAAAATTGAAAAGAAAAAAAAAATCAGGATAAAGAGAGTGCTTGCCTCTGCACATCTCTGTCTATCCACAGGAAAGCAGATACTATGATGTAAAGGGTTTGTTTTGTTCTTTCCTTTAGACCAGAGGTCAGAAAACTATGTTCTGCGGGACAAATCAGGCCCACAAGCCAATAATGGTTTTACATTTTTAAATGGCTGAAAAAATAATAAAAAGATGATTTTGTGACCTGTGAAAATTGTATGAAATTCAAATTTTAATGTTCATAAAGTTTTATTGGAACACAGCCATGCCCAGTTGTTTACATGTTGTGTACTATATTAAAATTATACCCAGGATTTAATTCATGGAGGTATGACATGGAGAGGATTGAAAGATTGTTGTTACTTACGTTTCCCAAGAGAAAGGGGCATGCCATGTCATACAGGGCCACATGAGGAAGCACCAGGTTTGGTCAGGAGGCAGCAGCAGGCGTGAAGAGAATGCCTTGGGCAGAGCCTTTATTGGAATTTCCTTGGGAAAGGCAAGATGGCAAATGGTTTAGGATTGGCTAGTTTCAATAATTCTGGTGAGCCTTGGGACATAGGGGCTGTCCCTGGTTGTCTGGTATCTGGCCCTGGGATGATTTAGGGCAGGGGGAACATTGGCCTGGTGTGTGGAAGTTAAAGATGCGGTTGGCTTGCATATGAGAGGCATTCTCCCAAGTAAGCTTACTCTTTAGGAATTAGCTAGCTCTGAGAGAAGCAGTCTCTCCCTCTAAGATCTAAGGCCCTCTAAGATGTCAAAACATCCTAAAACACAGACAAAAACACATGACATCTATGGCTGCTTTGGTGCCACAATGGCAGAGCTGAGTAGTGGAGACAGAGACAATGTTCCTGCATGCCTAAAATATTTACAGTTTGGCCCTTTACAGAAGTTTGCTGACCCTGATCTAGACCCAGAGTCTACAATGGTTTACTGTATAACAAATGCTCAGGAAAATGCACATGATTAACAATAGCAGTCTCAAAAGCCAGAATAACTTGGTGTTGAAGGTTTCTTTTGATCAGTTATTACTTTAATAAGGTGGATCTTTCACATATGTACTGTGGTAGATAGAGAAATAGAGCCCCCCAAAGATGTCCACATCCTAATCCCTGGAGCCTGTGGATATTATCTTATATGGCAAAATGGAATTAAACTTGCAGATAAAAGTAAGGTTTCTAATTAGCTGACCTTGAGATAGGGAGATTAGCCTGGATTGCAGGTGGGCCTAATGTAATTATAAGGGTCCTTTTTAAGTGGAAGAGGGAGGCAGGAGAGAAAGGGTTAGAGCAGTGGAATATGAGAAGGCCTCAGTTGCTATTGCTGGCTTTGAAATGAAGGGAGAGACTATGAGCCAAGAAATGTGGGCAGCTTCTGAACGTGGAAGAGGCAAATTTCTCCCCTGGAGCCTCTAGTAGGAAGGCAGCCCTGCCAACACCTCGACTTTAGCCCAGTGAGACCCATCTTGAACTTCTGACCTCAAGAACTTGTGAAATAAATTTGTGCTGTTTCATGGTAATTTGTTACAGCAGTCATAGAAAACTAATACATGTACCAAACCCTGAACTTGACAGTGAAGGCACTCATTGTTTAGAAACTCAAAAGAAGCTGTTTAACATGGGCAAGTTTCCTTACATTTTGGGCATCAGTTTCCTCATTTATGAAAAGGAGACAATAAAAGGGTTTATTTATGGAGTGGTGGTAATAAATGAGGGGAAATATTTAAAGACTAATTTATGGTAAGTGACATAAACTTTCACACTTATTATATGAATGAACCAAGAAATCATTGCTGGTAGAAAAGATGGTTAAAACATAGACTACAAAAAAAAAAAACTCACCTGTGATAAAGAAAATGCCCTACACCCCTATGCAGTTAATAACACTGTCTCCAAATACATTAAGAATTGGCAAAATTATAAGAGTTTCATAATCCACTTTTAGATTGGGATATTTGTTTATAAACTTGCTCAGGAAAAGATCAAGAGTCAAAAGTTCTTTTAGTAAGAGGGTATAAAAGACTCTTAAGAAGCTCGACCATTTGGACATGTACTGAGCATGAAACCACTCAAAACAAAATACATGGTTCTGAAGCACACAAGAAACAATTATTAAAAGCACACAAGAAACAATTATTAAAAACTGGCCATACACTAGGCTTATTCTTTAGGGTTTTATTTAACTCTGTTATAAAAATCTCCCCTAAGATGTTTATTTCAAATTAAGATTTGTTTCATGTGACAAGTCCAGAAATGCAGTCTATGGCAGCCACAGATGCCTAAAAACATGCCATTGGGGAGTGAGAAATCTTATATTTTGAGGGTTCAAAATCATTCCAATGGTCCTAAAGTTGCTCAACCCAACTTGGCGTTTCATCCAAGTTCCAGAGAGCAACAAAACAAGAGAGAGGGGCCGGCCAGGTGGCGCACTGCTATAGTGCGCCGCTTGGGAAGTGCGGCGGCGCTCCCGCCGAGGGTTCGGATCCCACATACAGACCGGTTCCCGCTCACTGGCTGAGCGAGGCGCGGGGGCAACACCGAGGGCTGCGATCCCGTTGCCGGTCCCGGTCCGGTGCGGGGGCGACACTGAGGGTTGCAATCCGTTGCCGGACACAGAAAAAGACAAAAAAAACAAGAGAGAGGGCAAAGGAAACTTGATTAAGAGAAAAAGAATAACAATAACTCTCCTCTTTCCAAACTGGTTTCCAGAAATCCAAACCAGTGAATTCTGCACTCATCACTAGCCAGGACTATAAGCTCTGCCCACCATCACTTATGAGAAAAAATTGGGAAATTCATAAACAGTGCTCAATGCGGAAAAACAAATTTCTGTGCCCTTAGTAAAGAAGGTAAGAATATGTCAGGGCACTTGACACAATTGGCATCATTAGACTGAAGTGAAAGTCATAACAAATACCCCAAATCAGTATCATTAAGATCATATACTCTGACCATAATGCAGTCAAATAGTGATCAATAACAACAAATGGCCAAAAATGGTATCATGGAACATACCGATGCCAAGTCTAAGTTACACACAGCTCAAAGAGGGTTTCACATTGGAAATGAGACCATATATAAGTTAATGAACTGTAATTAAGCTACTTCATATCAAAATTTATGTGGCAGAGCTGAAAGTGTGCACAGAGGGATATTCATTATTGTATAGCCTTTCATTAGAAAAGAAAGTCTGGAACATCATGAACTTTATTCTAATTCAAAGATGAGACAATGATAAGGACAACCACCGTTAACATTTACAGTGTTTCAGTCTACTGTTTATGTTAGGTAATTGAAGAGCTGGAACTGAGGGCTTTCTCATGTCTCTTCCAACCATAGTCTCTCTCTAGGGTGTGGTCTTAAAAGGGATAAGTGTTTAAAGAGGTCTTTCCTGTATTCCTTACTTCTACAAGGAGTCTCTGCAGTGTGAATTCTTATATGGACTGTGACTCTGAGATAACATCGAAAGCTTTCCCATGTTCCTTCATAGAATTTCTCTTCAGCATGGGGACAAATGTCTACTCAAGATGAATGATGATGAAAGGTTTTCCGTAGACCTTACCTTAACAGGGTGTCTTTCAGTGTGAACTCTCACATTTCTATAAGATATGAGTTCAGGGAAGAAGTTCCCATGCATGTTAATTCGTTGAGCTTCCTTTGAATATGTCCTCCTTACATGTTCATTATAGTGAGAAAGTTAATGAAATTTTCCTACATTCTTTTCATTCATAGGGTTTCTCTCAACTACAAGTCCTTGGGTGGTTTTTAATCCTGAGGACTTATGAAAGGCTTTTCCACATTCCTTACATTCATTAGGCATTCTCCATAAGGTGCTTTCTTAAATGTTTATTAAGATGTAAGGAATATCTAAAGGCTTCCCCACATTTCTTACATTCATAGGGTTTCTCTCCAGTGTGAATTTTCGTGTCTCGTAAGGATTGACTAATAAACAAAGGCTTTCCCACATTCATGGCATTTATAGCTTTTTTCTCCAGTACTTGTTCTCCCACGTGAATCAGAATTTGGAATATGAGCAGAGGTTTTTCCACTTTGACTATTCCCATTATTTGCCTCTGCAGTATAAAATTGCAGCTGCATAGGAGGGACCAATTTATTTCTGAAGATGTTTTCAAACTGGTAAGAATCATACAGTTCTCTCTAATGTAAGTCCTATGTACACTAAGGGATAAATCCACACTGAAGGCTTTTACAAATAGATTCCAGTCACAAATGCCTGCCCCCATATCAACTGTATTATGGTATGACACACATTGTTCTGATTGCCAATCCATGTGTTGGATTCTAGCTCTGAGTTCTCTCACATGGAGCCAGTGGAATCGTCTGCCACAAGAATCTATCATATTTATTGTTTTTATGTATTTTTTATTATTGTTTAAGACAAGATCATATTTCACAATATTTGAGTCACATTTTGGAATATACTTTCTTGTGCAATCTCCCTATGTAGGCACAAGCTTTGGACTAGGTTTAGAGTGGTCCCTCACACCATGATATTCACAAATTCTAATTGGAGACTCATCTTTCTCATGGGCAATTGCAACTTGCTCCAAATGTTGCTGCCTTTGCTTGTGTAGCTCCTTTATTTTGTGGCATTTCCAGTCTTCTCCAAATGTGAAGGTCTGGGAACTGTTACTGGTGAGACATACTCCGTTTGCTTTATGAAATACTTTTTAGCAAGAATATCCTGTTGAGGGGTTGAGTCTTTGGTTTTATGTTGAGTCACCCAATCTGAAATAAAGTGGCATACAAGTTCGATTATTTGTTGAAAGTAAAGTTGGGTTAGGGATGATAAAATAAGCAATGCGTGTACGGATTACTTTTCAAATGTTTACCTAACATATATGAGGAAAATGTGAAAGGGGAGGTCATGGGTTCCACATATCCCAGTGTGTTACTAAGAAATGGTTCTGCAAAGATCAAGACATGATCAGGAATGCCAAGTGGAAGAGAATAGACAAAGAGTCCATGCACAATTTTAAAGAGGAAAGAGGACAGGCCATTCTCTCAGAAAAAAGGAAGATATGAGAGGATGAATGAAAGTCAAAAAACATAAGCTCTCTGTACCTGACAAAGCTTAAACACCGATAAGCCTCAGCTTTCCCCTCAGATAAAATGGGTTCTTTTACCTTGAGGCAAAATTCACATAACATAAAATTAACTATTTTAAAGTGTTCAATTCACAATGTTGTGCAATCATCACCTCCACCTAGTTCCAGGACATTTTCATCACCTCAAAAGGGAACCTTATACCCAGGAAGCAGTTATTCACTATTTCCCCTTCCTTTCAGCCCCTGGTAACCACTAATCTACTTTCCATCTCTATGGATTTGTCTATTCTAGACATTTCACATAAACAAGTTCATGTATGTGGCCTTTTGTCTCTGGCTTCCTTAGCATGTTTTCAAGGTCCATCCAAATTATAGCATGTATCAGAACTTTATTCCTTTTTTCGTTGTTGAATAACAGTCCATTGTATGAATGTTTTTTGTATGAACGTTTTTTGACTTTCATTCATTTTCACATTTTGTTTCTCCACTCATCCACTGATGAACATTTGGGTGTTTTCTACCCTTTGGCTATTGTGAATAATGCTGTTGTAAACATGTGTGTACATTTATTTTTTTAAACACCTGTTTTCAATTCCTTTGGGCAGATACCTAGGAGTAGAATTGCTGGGTCCTATGGTAAGTCTATGTTTAAATTTTGAGGAACTGCCAAGCTGTTTCCCACTGTGGATGAAATGGATTCTTAACCAACATTTCCACATTGTTTGTAAAAATCCTTCCTAATAAGCATTCATTCTACCTGGTGCTGTGATACACAAATGCCTGGGTAAAAACCCCCTGCACTATTCTCAGGCTCACTTCTTGCTCCAAATGAGAAATCAGACCAGGTTTACTTAGTTGAAATCCTAAACACTGGGCAAGGGCATGATGAAGGGAATGGTACCAAGACTTCCCATGAAGGAGGGTGCACTTTGGTTTGCAGGGTTCTGAAGCTAGGAAGTGTGACCTCTCTACTTTTCTCATGAATGCACTAAAACTCTGTCAAAAGGGATCAAAATGACACTTTCTATGTGCTCCATGTTTACCCACTTAAGGATCTCCCAAAAACTGAATACAGCGGACAGATTTCCAGTTTCATGGTGAAGCTCTATGTCTGCTGGTTGGGGGCCAGTGGATGTGTCTCTGTAATTTAACAACTCAGTTCCCATTTCTCAACACACCTCCCAGAACACAGTTCCAAACTAGTAATGGTCCCATCACCAACTACATGCAGGAAGGGGGCATCCTTACCTATGAACGCCAGGTTCCTACAGTTCTCCAGCATCATGTCTCTGATGATGGAGCAGAGCAGGGCCCAGCAGAGTCCATTCCTCCTCGGTGATGTTCACAGCTACATCTGTGAAGGTCTGAGTCCGAAAACAACACACCAATTTTGGTTCAGTGGGGACCTGTTATGGGTTGAGCTGTGTCCCCGCCCCTAGAAATGTTGATATCCTAACCTCCAGTATCTGCAAAGGAGACATGATTTAGAAATTGGGTCTTTACAGATGTAAGGAGTTAAGATGAGGTCATGCTGGAGTACGGTGTGCTTTAATCCAATGACTGGTGTCTTCATAAGAGGAAATCTAGACACAGACACACAGAGGAAAGAATGCCATGTGACAATGGAGGTGGGTATTGGAATGATGGCTCTATAAGCCAAGCATTGCCAAGAACTACCAGAAGCAAGGGGAAAGCAAGTTCCATGCTTGCTTTCTCTCAGAGCCTCAGAAGGAACCAGCCCTGTGCCATTTTGATTTCAGACTTCTGGCCTCCAGAACTGTGAGAGAATAAATTTCTGTTGTTTCAAGTCAGCCAGTGTGTGGTACTTTGTTGCAGTCTTAGGAAACCAATATAGGTATTTGTATGCCAGCACTTCCAGAAGGAGAGTGGCTCATAGCACTGGAGAATCTCCATTAGTAGGAGGTATGGCCAAGGTCTGTGTTTTCTTATCATCTCAGGTTCTTCTCCCCTCTGTCCTCATACACTCCCAAGTTGACCACAAGTTTCATGTCTTCAGCTGCACTTGGACCATGCCCTTGCCTCTCTGTCTATCCTCATTCTCTCTTTTTTAAATTTTATTTTGTCGATATACAATGTGGTTGATTATTGTGGCCCATTACCGAAACCTCCCTCCCTCCTCCCTCTCCCCACTCCCACCCACAATGTCCTTTCTGTTCATTTGTGTCAACTTCAAGGAATTGTAATTGTTATGTCTTCTTCCCCCCCCGTTTTTTTTGGTGTGTGTGAATTTATTTTGTATCCTGCTACTGTCCTGAAATCATTTATCAACTCCAAGAGTTTTTTTGTACAGGCTTTAGGTTGTTCGATATATAGGATCATGTCATCTGCAAACCGGGACAGTTTGACTTCATCTTTTCCAATCTGGATGCCCTTTATTTCCTTCTCTTCTCTGATTGCTCTGGCCAGTACTTCCAACACTATGTTGAATAGGAGTGGTGAGAGTGGGCATCCTTGTCTGGTTCCTGTTCTTAATGGAAAAGCTTTCAATTCCCCAATCAAAAGACACAGACTGGCTGACTGGATTAAAAAGGAGGACCCAACTATATGCTGCCTTCAAGAGACCCACCTCACCCATAAAGACTCACATAGACTAAGAGTGAAAGGATGGAAAAATATTTACCATGCAAACAGAAAAGAAAAACGGGCTGGAGTAGCTAT